CTACTAGCGCCTAAAAATCTAAATGCCAACGTTATGTCGAATAAAATCGTATCCAACAATCACATTGAATATAATGATCAATATTGAACATATAAATGATATAAAAAGCACATTGTTAGAAAGATAAATGATTGTTGAACTTATTAATATTATTTTAAATAGATTAATTGCTATTTTTACATAAAAAAGTGGTTTTAGTGGCTTATGGCGTTGTAGTAGTAGATAACTTTTGAAAATATCAATTGCTTAACTAAATCTAATTTTTAATCTCTCCATCTATCATGTGAGAAGCCATGGAATGTAAATGGCAATCTAATCTTCTTATGTTTAGCTGTAATTTTTTTTTCGGCGTAGAAATCCGGATATTTTCGGTGTTATAGCAGCCTTGTAAATAAATAAACTTATTAAACAGACTGCCTCTGCCTCACTCATCTACTCGTACTTCGGCGTCAATCACCGTCGTGAGTAGACATTGTGTCGGTTGTTTGCAGCGGCGCAAAAAGATCGCTGTACAAAATACAATATATTCGAAAAACCAAATTTCATACATTATTATTATAATAATCAGAGATTTTTATTACAATGTTTTAAAAGCACAGAATAAATAATAGTACTACGTAGTACGTACTAAAAGTAAGTAGGATATATATATATTTAAGTATATTTATACTTTAATACGTCTTGGACTTCATGGGGTGACCTGAATGATGATATGAGGATCATATGAGCATTATGAGTCGTGCACATTTGGATTTTCCAAACTTTTAAATTGAAGTGTCAGATAAATTATTGGATTGTAATAATAAGGTTATCTGTGTAAATTTGTGAACCTATATTTAAATTTAAACCATTAACAATTTACGTATAATCATGTTATACGTAAATTATTTAATCCACTTAAGCATGCCACAATTGGATTAAATTTTCGTAAATATACTGGGAGGCCAAAGTTAATATATTTATTTCTCTAAATTTATCTCTAAGGTCTCTATGGATAGGTTTCTTACTCTGGTTCTGTACTCAGATAGCTATCGTAACCATATTGTACAAACACTTCAGCACTTGGAAACCGACAGTCAAGTTGGCATTACTGAAATGACTGTAGCACCGCCCAAATTTCGACGGAAGCATTCTGTCTTCTATATTAAGTAGGGTATGTATGTGGTCTATAGTACTTAAGCCTTTTCGAAAACATTGTTTGTCCCAAACAATGGGAAACAGATGGGAAATTTGTGTGTAGTTTGCCTTAAACTCGGTCTTGCTCGGGGCTTTACCGTTTTTAATGTGAAGAGCAGAAGTGCTATTCCAGTTTTGCTTAGACTGGTCGTAATAGAATTTTCTTAATATCATGAAATATTTCTCAAATAGCTACATAGCGTTGGGTACTTTTGTCCATAGCAGACTTCTGTCAATATTTTTATCCAAATTCATTTATTTTTAAGCTCATTTTTTACAAAGTTGGAAACGAACTACCAGGAAATAAGTTCGAACTCTTACAGGAGATACCGTTTCTTATTTGATCGTGTTTTTTGTAAGAATTAGCTTAGCTTATTTTTTTATAAAATTAGAGTACCAAACGAGTGTGCTCGTTCCACCTGATAGTAAGTGGCTGCTGTGGTCCATATACGTCATTCATCTACTCATAATTAAATTTCAAAAATGTAGATGCATTGTCACCCCTTTTTTTTTGCGGATGGAAAATCATCAAATGACGCCTTTCGCTCTGGGTGGAGCGGAAGGGAGTGTCAGACTTTTACTGACTAAAAACCATCCGTGTTCCTTCAGTGCCCTTACGTTCCGGAGCCGCGGTATCTCTTTCGAACAGCCCGCAGCCCCGGCAGGCGTCGGCCCTTGCGGGCCCCTTCACGCTGCTGACGGCTCTTTGAGGCGCGCGTGGAACAAAACGCGCCGTCGACACGGCCTGTCGTCGTTAGACGGACGGACGGCGAGCTACCCATTGCTCGCCGTCCACAGGCCCGCGCCTACGGTGGCCGGGGGCCACGACGTAGCCCCCGACGCCCGGGGCGTCTCCCGCGGCGGCCGGGAAGGAAAGCTGCTGCTCTCTCCTTCTCCCGCTCCGCCACCTCCTTCGCTAGCATCACTGCTTCGCAGAAGGTGGTGACGGCATCCCATTCCGTCTCGCTCCGGACCATGGCTTCGACCAGGGCCGGACGCGAGAGGTCGCCGCCGCCTATCGCCGCTACGAGGACACGGCGGTGCTCCGCCCAGGCAGGGCACACCTCCACGGTGTGCTCCACCGTGTCCTCCGGTCGATCCTCGCAGTGGGAGCACCCGGGCGTTTCCTCCCGCCCGAATAGGTGCAGAAACCTCCCGAACACACCGTGTCCGGTGAGGACCTGCGTCAGGCGGAAGGTGAGGACGCCGTGGTGTCTCTCAAGCCACTCCTCAAAGAGGGGTCTTATTGCCGCTATAGTGGCGTGCCCAGCACGGGGTTGCAACAGTCGCTCTCTCCATGTCGCCATGAGATCATGCCGGAAGTCTGTCCGCTGCACGACAACTTGCCGCGGCAGCGGGGTTTCCCCCCGGCATAGTGCCTCCGCGCGCCATTCGTGCAGGCGCGCGAGGACTATCGCTTCCAGAACCCATGGCGGCAATCCGGCAAGGAGGCACGCTGCCTCGCGGGAGATCGTGCGGTAGCCGCGAACCATTCTTACGGCAACCACCTTTTGGGGCGCGTTCAGATGGTGGACGGCAAGCCGCGCCAAACCACGCGCCCACACCGGGGCCCCGTAAAGGGCCATGGACCGTACAATCCCCGCGTAGAGCCTCCGGCAGGAGGCGTTTGGCCCCCCCAGGTTCGGCAGGAGCCGCCTGAAGGCAGCCCCGGTCCGTTCCAGTTTGAGAGCCAAACGTCGGAAGTGCTCAACGAAGTTCCATCGGCCGTCGAGGACGAGTCCTAGGTTTTCTTCAACGTCGACTCGACGCCGATGGATACCCCTCCTACCATCGCTGAGGATCCCGGTGGTGGCCTGTTCCGAGGACCATGGAAGTGCATGGCCTCGGACTTGTGCAGAGCCACCTCAAGACCCAGCTGCCGGATCCTCTCAACGACTATCGCAACCCCGCGTGTCATATTTTCCGCCGCCGCCTCGTACGACCCCCCCTGTGCCAGTACCAGCGTGTCGTCAGCGTAGCAAACTACGCTGACGCCGGTACGGTACGGTCGGCGCGCAGCACCCAGTCGTAACCGATGTTCCACAGGGGCGGCCCCAGAACCGAACCTTGTGGGACACCGCACGACATCTCTCGCCGGTTCCACTCACCGTTGCGACCGGGGTAGATGACGGCCCTATCCGTCAGATAGTCCCCGACTATACGACGGAGATAGGTCGGCACCCGGTGATACCGGAGTGCCTCCCTAATGCAGCTCCAGGGCATGGAGTTGAAGGCGTTGGCGATGTCGAGAGACACCGCCAAAACAACCCCCCCCCTGGCCACTGCATCCCCCGTCGTGAGGGCTCTCACGCGCATGATGGCGTCCACCGTAGAGCGCCTCTTGCGGAAACCAAACTGGTGTTCCGCAAGATCCGGCCCCGTCCCCGCAAGGTGCTCGGCGAGGCGGTTTGCAATGACTCTTTCAAAGAGCTTGCCCACCTCGTCGAGCAGCACCACGGGCCGGTATGCGGACGGAGAGTCCGCAGGGCGCCCCGGCTTCTGAATGAGGACCAGCTTCCCCGTCTTCCAACGAAGCGGGAATTGGCCTCTCTCCAAGCATGCGCTTAGGAGCCCCTCCAGTCGGGGCCCGAGAGCCTCCGAGGCCAGGACCCAGGCTTTGCCAGGCAAGCCATCGGGTCCTGGGGCGGTATTCCTGGCCTTAAGCCTACGTACCGCCACTCTCAGGTCTACCCCGGTCCCTTCCGGGATGCCGTCGTCGTCGTCCTGGTGGTCCGCTTCCGGCACCGCAGGTGGCGGAGCCATAGGCGGGGGCGGATGTTCCCCTCGCGCAGGAAACAGAGCGCTCACGACGTCCTCCACGAGCTGAGGCCGAAGACTCTGCGTCAGCGGGGGAGCCCAGGTGCGGAGTTTATCCCGCACCATCTTGTAAGGGCGCCCCCACGGATCTCTGTCGAGAGTCTCCAGCATCTCCTCACGGGCCCGATCCCGGGCCCGCATGACAGCCTCCCGGAGGGCGGTCTTCGCCGCTCTGTATCCCTCGTACAGCTCCGCCTCAATGGCTGCCGCATTCGGTGGACGAATGCGGAGCCTGCGATGCCTGGCGTACAGGTGCCGCGCGGCGACACACGCCTCGCGTAGAGACGTCAGCTCACGCGACCACCAATACACCTGGCGCCGGGCGCTTCCTGGCCGGACGGGGGGCATTGCCATGTCACATATCTCGGACATGGCCTCCTGGAACCACCCTGCCTCATCATTGACGTCGGCAGGCCTATCCGGTGATGACACCCAGGCCTGCACGATCGAGGCTTCCAGGAGGAGCTCCCGGTCCAGCTGCTTCAGCGCCCAACGCGGACCACTCGGGGCCTGTTGGACTGGCGCACTCGAGGGCTGGGTGGAGACGTCAAACCGGATGTAACGGTGGTCGGAGTAGGTCTCCACCCCCTCCATGACTCGCCAGTCAATGGCACGCGGCGACAGAGCGGGGCTAGCGAACGAAATGTCCACCACCGACTCGCCCCGCATCCGCACACACGTGGGGACAGAACCCCGATTTAGGACGACCAGGCCTGTCTCCAGAGCCCAGTCTTCCACCATCCTACCCCGCACATCTGTACGACGAGAACCCCAAGCCAAGTTTTTGGCATTGAAGTCCCCGAGGACAAGCACGGGGAGGGGATAGCTTCCGACGACTACTGCTCTCAGCTCTGCAAGAGAGTTGTGGAGCTCGGCGAGAGATCGGTTCGGGGAGAAGTACACCCCCACAACGACGAACTCCCCGAACCGTGCTGCTACGCACCCCTGACCCCTCCTGACACCTTCAAGGGTCGGGGTACCGGCGGCAGCCGAAGAAATAATGGCCACTGAGCCGTTAAGGTCCGCCACCCAGTCCTTCCTAGGCCAGACAGAATACGGCTCAGCGACCACAGCGATGTTAATCGACCACTGCGCCATGCTCTGGAGCAACAGATCCTGAGCGCAGGCGCAGTGGTTGATATTCGCCTGGAGGAAGCTTAATGGGGCCGTTATAGGCATTCCATTTCAGCTTCCTCCACGTGGCGCCCCTCTGCAGGCGTCGGTGTCGCGGCGGCGGCGGCGGCGGCGGCGACAGTGACAGCGGCGGCGGTGGCAGTTGCAGCTGCGGCGGTGACCATAGAGGCGGTGGCGGCGAAGGAGGGCTCTCCCCTACCCGCGGCCTTGGCCTCGGCGGGTGACACGCAGGCCCTGCTCCCGGCCCAGTGATCGGCTGGCTTGCCGGTCGCCGCACATGCATCACAGTGCGGCGCATTGTCACCCCTGAGGACTGTATTTCATGATGTGTGTTTTTTTATAATTTCGTTTTCAATTCTTAGAAACAGGCTTTATCGCAAAGTGATTACGCATGTGTATGTGTGCACATTTTCTTTTATGCATTATATTATGTCTCTTAACACTATTATAGCTACGAGTAAATGTAAAAAAGCAGTACAGAGCAGGGTTTGGTATTTTTTAATAAATATACCACTACTTTTTGCAAGTCGTAGATCATAACAGACTTCACCGGTTGCAATAAGCCCATCTATATCCTTTAAACACAATTAATATTATCTTATTTCAATGGTATGATCATTCCATTTTTTTTATATTCTACTAAGCCAGCGCTTATCTACGATCCCACTTGATATGTGGGTTGCGATGAGGTTAGTAAGGTTATGATATCCATGATCCTTGAGTGCCTTTTTCCTGCAATCACACTTATCGTAAACTTTTCCCTTGACTCAGGACAATATCCTACTCAGTGGAAAAAAGCATTTGTGCGACCACTTCCTAAAATACCCAATCCCTTATTACCTACCCATTTTAGACCAATTTCAATTTTGCCGTACCTATCTAAAGTTCTGGAAGCCTGTGTTCACAAGCAAATCTCTATGTTCATAACCAAACATAACCTGCTGAATAAATATCAGTCAGGCTTTCGAGCAGGTCATAGTACTACCACTGCCTTGATAAAAGTCACAGATGACATTCGAATGGGAATGGATGAGCAGAAGCTTACAGTGGTAGCACTTGTTGATTTTTCAAATGCTTTTAACACAGTCGACCACGATATCCTTATAGCCTTCCTAGCTAATCTTAGATTCTCAATCCCAGCTTTGGAATGGTTTTCATCCTATCTTCGCGGCCGCCAGCAATCAGTTCGATTAGGACAACAGTCTTCAACATGGGCTGACATTGAAACAGGCGTGCCGCAAGGCGGAATACTTTCTCCTATAATGTTTTCTCTATTTATAAATTCTATTACTTCATTTCTCAACTGTTCGTACCATCTGTATGCAGATGATCTTCAGCTCTATGTGCAATCTAGAGTTAATGACCATAACCATAATATTCACAAAATCAACCACAACCTTGATGCCATAAGAGATTGGTCGTATAGACATGGTGTTTCGGTTAACCCTACCAAATGTAAGGTAATGGTTATAGGTAGTAGCAGAATATTAGCCAAGATTAATAACAATGATCTTTCTCCCGTATTTTACAATAAAACATTGCTGCCATTTTGTAAATCTGTTAAAAATCTTGGCTTACATATAGACCATACCTTGAGCTGGGGAGTTCAAGTTGCTGAAATAAGCCGTAAAGTTACCTTACGATCTCTTTGCCGTCTCAAAAACTTTCTGCCTTTTAAAACTAAACTTCTACTTGTCCAGACTTTGATATTACCCATTATTGATTATGCGGATGTGTGTTACCCAGATCTATCTCAATATCTTCTCGTATTCTTTGAATAAAGCTGTGGTACTGATTCATTCCCGTATTTTGCCTTACAGTGCTTAGTATCTATTGCTTATGATTGCTCAGGCTCTAATGTTAGTGACTTTATTAGGTGCACCTTTTATGTCGACGTTTACTTAAGCGGCGGAGAATCGATTGAGTCACTTTATTTATTTTGATTAAAGTGACATCCATACTCTCCAACGATCTTAATTTTGCCTAAACAAGGGGCAGTCTATCAACCTTTAAATTTTGAACTCAGTCACTAATATCCACTATAAGCACTCGGAAACAAATCATAACCTAATTAATAGAATCAGGCGTTACTTTTCAAACTTTAAATCATAACCATCACTATGACAATCCTGGGACTCACAATCCAACCACCTTGTCTTCGTAATTAAATCAAGTGTTACAAATCAAACACAGCAAATTATTTTAATCATATTATTATGTTATCAGAGACGTTTTTGAGCGTCCATCGACACCTATGTGTGTGATACAAGAAGCTACGATCGACCAGACGTAGAGCTACGTTCCTACCAAACAAAATCCTGCAGACATTTTTATCTGGGGGGGTATTGCGTCCACTTTTATGATCTGGTTCAGATTTCCTTCATCCTTATTCTGTTTCCGAGGTGTCCCATCACTCAAATTTTACATTTCTCGAAACTTCATTACATACTTTTGTCTGAAATAATGCAACAAATCATAGCAACAATGCTGTAACTCAATTCTTGTGAATTCATTATTCATTTATTATTTACGAAAATATTTAGAACCTTAGCTTATGTATAGATTCATTTATAATTGCAAATATTTAATAAAATGAAATTTTATTTCATTCTGAAAATCTAATTTTGCAGCAGAAAATGCTCCCTAAAGGAATAAAATACTCTTGAATGCAATAAAATGTTACAAAAAATAAATAGATTGATAAGCTTCTCTCCCTTTATTGATTCTTGCATTCTAAATTTTAGTAAGTAGCTTTTGTTTAAGTGCGCATAATGCATAAATATTAAATAATCATCATAACCCATCACATTTTCTATAGTTGGCACGTTTGGCAACTGTAGAATTTTTAATTATGACTTCTTATCAGGATGATGATGCTGTCTACTTTCTGTTTCATATTACTTCTGCTGCCTCTTACGGACTCCAAGATATGATATGGTTTAGTAAATTCTCTTACGCCGCCACTACACAGCAGGCATTTATTACATACGATTTGACGAGTGCCTGATTTTGTTTACGTATTCAATAATAAATTATAAAAAAAATGACTTTGTTTTTTATCAAGCTTTAAGAGTTTTAAATTATATACTGTAAATAATCTTAGTACATACAAAGATAAAAGTAGTGAGTATTATAAAGTGTGGATGGATAAAGATGTACAAAAGGTTGTGCAAGAAAAGAAGAAAGCGTGGTTGGATTGGTTAGCAACAAAAGCTAACCAAAAAGTTCAAAAGGCAACGGATGACGAGATAAAGGAAGCAAGAACGAAGTATAAAAGATTGAAAACAGCAGCGAAAGAAATTGTGTCTAGAAAGAAAGAAGAACGAAAGGATGATTTCGATAGGAGGCTCACTGAAGATTTCCAGTCAAACATTAAGTTTTTCTGGAAAACCATCAAAACAGCCAGAGGAAAAACTTCTACCTCGGAGCTGAGTACAATCAGGAGTCAAGATGGAAGCATTATAAAAGGAGAAGAATGTGTGTTAAAGAGATGGAAAGAGTATTTTGAAAGTTTGTTTGAAAGAGAGGAAGTGCAGGTACAGCATCTGCCACCTTCCACGGAAACTAATATAAATGTTGATGAAAATGAGATAAGCATGGATGAAATAGTGAAAGCGTTGAAAAGTATGAGATTAGGTAAGGCTGCAGGGTATGACAGGATTACCGTCGAGATGCTGAGGGCTGGACAGGGCCTGGTGGCTAGTCAGCTGTACCACCTTTTCAATCTGTGCTGGCGAAATGGGCAAGTACCGGGAGACTGGTGCAAAGCCATAATCGTGCCATTGTATAAGGGAAAAGGGTCACGGCAGGACTGCATAAATTACCGCGGTATAAGCCTTCTCAGCGTCGTCGGTAAATTGTATGCAAAAGTGTTGATTGAAAGGATTGTGAGTGAAACAGACAAGAAAGTATGGGATGCACAAGCGGGATTTAGAAAGGGAATGGGATGTACGGATCAGGTCTTTTCCTTGCGGTGCATAGCCGAAAAGTATTTGGCTAAAAACAAGAAAGTCTACTGCGCGTTCGTAGATCTAGAAAAGGCCTATGATAGAGTGGTGAGGAATGAATTGTGGTCAGCACTGTCCGTGAACGGTGTGAGCAGTATCTTCATACGAGCAATGCAATCTCTTTATAGGGATTCTAGTGCTTTTGTAAGGATAAACGGGGCATACACTGAATGGTTTAATATCGAAAAAGGTGTTAGACAGGGATGTGTAGCGTCACCGTGGCTGTTTAATCTGTTCATGGACAATTGTTTGACAGATTTAAAAGAGAATGAAAGTGGGTTGAGAATGAATGAGTTACTCGTCAAATGTTTTCTCTATGCTGATGACCAAGTATTACTTGCGTCTTCGGCCGAGGAGTTGCAGGAGATGGTAACTGCTATGAGTGGAGCTTTTGTTAGAAAGGGAATGAAGATGAATGTAAGGAAGACGAAAGTGATGGTGTTTGAAAAAGATGAGGCAATGACAGACTGCAACATTGTGATTGAAGATGAACAAATTGAACAGGTGAAAGAGTTTGTGTATCTGGGTTCAAAGTTTACAAGAGATGGAAAGTGTGAGAGTGATATCGAAAGAAGAGTGAATGCAGGAAACATGGTGAATGGAGCTTTGCACTCCTTTATGAGCAGTCGGAAGGTGTCTAACAAGGCTCGTTTGGCTGTGCATGAGGGGGTGTTGGTTCCGACACTCATGTACGGAAGTGAAACTTGGGTATGGCAGAAGAAACATGAAAGCAGAATAAATGCAGTTGAGATGAGAGCATTAAGAAGTATGATAGGAGTTAAACTGAGTGACAGGCTAGGAAATAGTGAGATAAGGAAACGTTGTGGTCTGAAAGAAGATGTAGTGACAAAAATTGAGAAAGGTATGCTGAGATGGTTTGGCCATGTCGAGAGAATGAATGAAGAACGATTGACGAAAAAAGTGTATAAGGCGAGTATGAATGAAAGTGTTGGAAGGGGTAGACATAGGCGGACATTTCTAGACCAAATCAGGGACGTCTTGAAAAAAGGCCAGGTCAAGAGTACCCTAAACCGTAGAGCATGTATGAAGGGAATAATGAAAGTGGACGAAGCAAAACAAGTATGTAAGGATCGTAGCAAGTGGAAAGAACTGGTCTCTGCCTACCCCTACGGGAAAGAGGCGGGATTATATGTATTTTTTTTATTTGCATATTGTCAAAATTCAAAAATTATCAACTATTGTAATTATTTAATAAGGTCATATAATTAGCAATCATCATTAGCATTATCAATTGCATTTTAATGTTAATGTCTGGTCTGTCTGTTTGTTCCGACTCGAGAATTCGCACGGACATGAAATTAATGTGAAATAGCATTAATTACCATTTCCGACGGATCTAAAGAACGGGAGAGCCTTTTCAATGATAATGAGGCACTCCTTCTTAGTTTATTCATTGTACTCGTAATACACCCTAAACTATTCAGCATTCTCTACTAGTCAACCCTGGGAGCAATAGATAAATGAAAGAAGTTATTTTGTGTTATTTTTTATAATACATATGTATAAAAAATAATAAAGAAGTCAATATCATTTCGAAGACAACTTTACTGAAATAGGTAAACTGGTAGCACAATGTTGCAGTGTTTTGAACGATAAGTGATAAATTCTATATAAAACCCAATTATTTTTACAGCGCATTCTTGCCTTGGGAGACTTTAATATGAAATAGAAATCAAATATATCAAATAATTGATACGGATAAAGGTAACCGGTTTTGTAATAAAAATATAGATTATAAATTTTTATCTGTCTTCTTAGTTCTATTCTTTGCAAAATTTATGACATTATGTTAATTTAAAATTAAAGGCCATAATTTATATTATTATATTATTATTATTGCGAAAGATTTTTTCATATAACAACTGGTGACACTGAAAAACTTTGACCGTAATATGAAAATGTAAAACTCGACAGAAAATTGATAATAAGTGGTATGTTACGTCGGGCCATAAAAAGACAATCCAAGATGGTAAAATTACTGCTTAAAGTTTTACGGCGTCAAAAAAAGTATCAATGGAGTGTGAATGTGACCATTTCATAGCTTGAGAATATAATTATGGAAAATCATTGTAAATAGTATCTTAATAAATAAAATATGTTTGTTACTTATAAGTACTTTTTTATATCTTTGCGGCGAAGTCCTCTTGGCGAAGCTTCTAAGGAGCTATCATAATTTTTACCTATTTTGGTAGGGTTGGCACAGGAGGATAAAACGAAATAAACAAAACGTTTATCAGCTTTTTAATAGATACTTAAGATATAATATTTTTATACAAACTTCATATTCTAAATGTTTTACTTTTACAATTATTGTTCTTCAGCAATTTGTTGTGGCTTTAAATTAAATGGTAAATTCTAAATTTAATGTATTTTTTTTTTAAAAATTTATTGGAAAGCATTCGCATTTTATAACAAATATAAAACTCTTGCACATGTTTTAATAATTCACTACGAATGTTTACAATGTTTCTTGCGAGAACAAAATTTGCTCAAGCAATTCAACAAACATGATAAAATTGTCTGGTAGTATTATTAAAAAACTTGATTTAACACTATCATAATCTTTGTAATGGATGGAAAAAGAATGTTTTCCTATATTTATAGGTTCTTCAGAACTATGAACGTACAGTTTTATTTTCACATATTTGTGGCGTTTAAGACAACATTTTCTATACAAATATCTCGATACATAGACCAAACGATTTTTTCTGGTAAATCAAATAGATAATTATTTGTTCATACGTCCAGGAAATGAAGCATTTTGGCTCGTAATTTTTTCGTCCACCATGGATTTACTTGAATTTTTCACAGAAGGTAGGGAATAGCTCAAGGATCATTGTCTATATCATGCCGCTGTACGCTAGAGCCTTGGGGGTGGTTGCCACCCTATCTTGGGAGTGGAATTTTTTTTATTACATTTTAACTATAGTAATCGACGGAAAATGTATTTATAAGAAAAAAATGTTATGTACGCTTTTTTCGTAAAACTAATATTTTTTGTATAATAATTAAATATTAATAGTTTTTTGACGAAAAAATCGACATTTTTAAATGTTTTTTGCTAATAACTCTAAAAATGTGCATTTTATCAAAAAAAGTGCAGAGAGCCAAATTGTAGCTTTTAAAAAAACACGTACAAAGCTTTTTTATAATTTTTCTACGACAAACACGAACTGAGATACAGTAATTGAATGCTTAGTTTTTTTCGTCAAATGCATAAATTGGAATATTTAAAGCGATATAACGAGAAAAATTTTCCTTATTCGAAGAAAGCTCATAGAATATTTTTTATAGTATTTAATTAGAGCTTTCAAACAAAAAAAATGTCTCTAGCATGAAAATGAGAAGCAAGAAAATTGACCGACTTATATTCAAAATAAGATCGGTACCCATTTTTTTCTGTGAAAAAATCTGTGAGAACAACCCCCAAAGTACCCTCTAATTAAAATTGATCGCCAACCTTCTGTGATTCTTTTTATATATGTACTATTAATACACCCACGAAGTTTGGCCAATTTAAAATGCCTAATTTTAGAAAAATAACAATAGAATTTGTGAAGAATTAAACCGTTTCCTAAATTGGTAGTTATATATAACAAGTGTGAGTTATTGCTTTACGTTCTATTTTATGCCATATGATTGAGTAGGTTAGATTGATTATAATAATTTATTTTCTTAAAAGTTAATTAGTTAGAATTGACCTTTTATAGCGGATCTACATGGAAATTAGGCATATTTTTTTTTTCATTTTCATCTTAGGACGAGTAGGCCGTTAGGAGACACTTCCACTAATTATTCTGAAATATAGCGATTCTGCTATATTTTTTTTAAACGTTACCCACTCTCCTGTATCATGGAAGCGGTTTACAAACATAAATTGCACAAGAACAAATATCCATATACGGAAAAATTATTTGTAGTCCATACAAATTTTGTTCCGTGCGGGATTGCAACCAGCGGCCCCCAGCACAGCAACTCATTGCTAAGCAACCAGGTAGTCGTCAAATATGAATAATGACTATGTCTTCAGGACAGTAGCATCGTTCAAATTCATCATCACTTACATAATAATATAATATACTCTCCAGTTCACTGAATAACCTGCCGAAAGGTTTGGGTGTTCTGGAAATAGGCAATGATCGTGACAGTACACAAAGCGAATCTTGCAGAACAAAACTACTACACTTCTGCTCTATGTCTCCAGCGTTGCATCTCTGAGAAAGACGAAACATATAACTAAATAGCTTCTGAGGGGCTCTACGTATTGGTTCTCCACCCACTTTAGGAGGCTGTTTTATCAGCTATTCTACATTAGCTATTCCATTTTATTTAGATACCAAGCCATAATAATTCAACACGGATTGATTTTGATGTGAAAACTTCTTTAGCATCGTTGTGATTTGAAACGAAAAAGCGACACTAAAAGAGAAAAAAAAATGGTAAATCAATTTGTACATGCCCGAAACATAATAGAAAATTACTTATAAGATGATTATACGTAAATTTTTCACTTAAAACCTTATAATTATTACTATACTTCAAGTTTTCCGATCATTTTATGTCAAATTTTACTTTAAAAAATAGCTTGGAAAATCTAAAAATGCAGCGATATAATAACATACGATCTATTAAAATAATACTCATATGATTAAGAAAAAATTAAAGAAATATAAATTGTAGTTCTATTCATAAAAGCGTTCCAGTAGCAGTGACTGAAGTACAATTTCAAGTCATATAAACTTGTGTCTGAAGTCGAGTCTTTGCTGGATAAAGTCTCGGATTGGGGGCGACTAAATCTAGTCCAGTTTAATCCTCAGAAGACACAATTTTTGCGCGTTTACCGCTAAAAAAAACACCTTTGTCGTATCTCCTCAGTTTCAAGGTACTCCCCTTGTTGCCTCAGCCAGTATCGGAATCCTCGGCGTCGACATATCGAGTGACGTGCAGTTTCGTGGTCACTTGGAAGAGAAGGCCAAATTGGCCTCTAAAAAGCTTGGCGTGCTCAGAGCTTGAGCCGGCATAAAATACTGCCCTGCTCTGGCAGTATTTTATGCCGGCTCAACGCCTGCAACTTTACAAGGCGCAGGTTCGGCCTCACATGGAGTACTGTTCCCATCTCTGGGCTGGGGCTCCCCAGTGCCAGCTCCTTCCACTCGACCGCATCCAGCGCAGAGCGGCTCGAATCGTGGACAACCGAGTCCTTTCCGAACGGCTCGACTCATTGGCGCTGCGAAAAGATGTTGCATCTCTTTGCATTTTCTTTCGCATTTACCACGGGGAGTGCTCTAAGGAATTGTTCGGATTAATCCCAGCCGCCAAATTTCACGAACGCACATCGCGGCAGAACTCCCGATACCATCCACACCATCTGGATGATTGGCGGTCCACCACTGTACGATTTAGAAGATATTTTCTTCCTCGCACAACTTCCTTGTGGAATAGTTTACCACCAGCGATTTTTCCGGACCGATACGACTTAGGGACCTTCAAGAAAAGAGCCTACTCCTTTTTAAAAGGCCGGCAACGCATCTGCAATTCCCCTGGTGTTGCGGTTGTTCATGGGCGGCGGTAGTCACTTACCATCAGGTGAGCCGCATGCTCGTTTGCCCCCTCTCCTATAAAAAAAGTCACTTTATCAAGTCCGGAGGTAAAGTCTCATCACAACTAACAAAACGAACCCAAGTTTGGCACATCTAGTTCTACTCGTCGAGGAGTTCCTGTAGCAGTCTTCAAAGTACACTTTCAAGTCACTCTATCAAGTCCGGGGGAAAGGTCTCATCATAACTAACAAAACAAGCCCAAAAAGATGAACATGGACAACACAAAAGTCATGTGTAACGTCCATATCACACCTATGCCAAAAGTTGCTGGGACCACTGAGCTCGAAGTTGTTGACGAGTATGTTTACCTAGGACAAATAGTCCGACTAGGTAAGTCCAATTTCAACTGAAATGTCAATGGACGGATTCAACTCAGCTGGGCAGTGTTCGGGAGATTACGACGATCTGAGACATGGTCCTTCACTACTGGCCGTATGAGAAACCTCAAAGTCGCTCAGCGAGCTATGTTGAGGGCTATGCTCCGAGTTTCTCTGCATGATAGATTTAAAAAGGAGGATATCTGCAGTAGAACTAGAGTGATAGACATAGAACAACGGATTAGTAAGCTGAAGTGGTTATGGGCCGGCCATATAGCTCGAAGATTCGACAACCGATAGGGAAGAAAGGTTTTCGAGTGGCAGCCTCATACCGGCAGGCGAAGTGTAGGGCGTCCCCCCACTAGATGCATGACGACCTTATAAGACATTTAGGAAGTCAATGCATGCAGATGGCTCGGAAACGTGCTTTGTGGCGTTCCTTGGGAGAGGCATATCTTCAGCACCAGACTTGTGAAGGGCTGTAATGAAGATGACATTGTATTTAATAACATTTCTCATATTTTTAATATCTTCATTTAATAATACTTACCTTATATAAAACTAATTGTACGGTTTCTATCATGTTTAATTTAACTCCCCGTGACCATAGGTGCTCTATTAGCACCCGAAACGTCGGGAATTAAAAAGTTAAATTTAACTCAATAGAATCCGTAAAATTAGTTTCATTTTATGTGTATTGATTGGGTAAATATAAGAAATCAGTACTTATCTTCTTACCTGAAATGAGAACTCAGACATATAATTCGATCGTCTTCATATAGTTAGTTCATGAGTCAGATGTTCCGTAGCTTTAACTGTTTTTTTTTTTTCGAGTGACCGCTTTCTATTCACTGAGTTTATTCTGAAACAGAAATTCCTAATCTCCTGTTTGTTGGTGACGATGAAAAAGATGAAAATTAATACTTTTGTTTTTAAAATTATTAAAGATTCATAGATTTCCACTGCAATTAAATTTCAATAGTAAAAAATGTACAGCTACTGAATAGAGATAAAATTAAAATATATTATCTCGTTTTAATTATAGTTAAAATTTATTTTGAATACATTAATATAACTTATTATATTATTATATATCTTAAATATATAATAATTTAATAAGTATAATATATTATATAATATCTAAAAACTTACATTTTTTAAAGATAAAATACTTAATTAGTTTTTTTACTTAAAATCTACCTTCAACAAATTAGGATATACAATAAGTATTTCATTTAATAAGTTTTTAATTACACATAGTATGTAGCATTTATTAAATAAATATATTAAAAACATGTAAAATGTTATGAAATATTAAGTGATAAATACTACGAATTATTTAATTTAAAGGTAGTGTTCACAGACATTCACAGTTGACCTTGCATTAAAAACGGTTAAGCGCAAGAAAAAGTGTATCAAATAAAATTTGTCGCAAATTTTTTGTTCTACAATTTTTATATTAGATATTTAGTCATTGGAGCAGGATAAACCAAACTAGTCGCGAAAAACTGTTTTTATTTACCTTTGACCTTAAGTAACTTATGATGCAGACACGAAATTTTATGAGACTTGAGATAACTTTTAGAACGCCAAAATGGAGGTAAATATATACGAAAATTCAGCTTATTATCTCACATTCCGAGGTTGAAACCTTTTTTATGATAGTGTCTGGACTATTACTTAGTATTTTCGTATAAACTCGGTACAAATCCATATTAAGAAAAATGTTGTAAGAGACCTTGCTATTGTTCTTTCTTTTTCTTGTTTTGTTGCATTTTATTTCCTTTGGCGATTTTAATTACGACTATCTGAACCTGTACATTCAAAGAAACGCTGCTTTAAAACACATTCCTCTTGTGTAAAAGGTTGTTAATTAATTTCTAAAGTTTGCGAGATAATATTTGACATAAAAATAAATTATTAAATCCAATTGGGCATGCTCTAAGCGCATTAAAAAATTACGTATAACATGATTATACGGAATTTTTAAAAGTACTTTAAATACATTTCGACAGCACTATCGGCTTCACCGCCCTCGAGAATCATGAAAATGACATCCATGATGATAAAATTGATACCTAATTCAGCCGCCATCTTGGATTTACATTTCAACAGCACTATCAGCTTCAACACCCTCGGAACCCATGAAAATGACACCTATGATGAAAAAATTGATACCTATTGCAGCCGCCACCTTGGGTTTACATTTCGACAGCACTACCGGCTTCAACACCCACCAAAACCATAAGAATGACACCGATGATGAAAAAATTTATATCTATTGCAACCGCCATCTTGGATTAACATTTCGACATCACTATCGGCTTCACCACCCTCGGAAACCATCAAAATGACACCCAAGATAAAAAAAATTGATATCTATTGCAGCCGCCATCTTAGATTTACATTTCGACAGCACTATCGGCTTCAAAACCCTCGAAAACCATGAAAATTACACCCATGATGAAAAAATTGATACCTAATTCAGCCGCCATCCTGGATTTACATTTCAACAGCACTATCGGCTTCAAGACCCTCAAAAACCATGAAAATGACACCCTTGATGAAAAAATTGATACCTATTGCAGCCGCCATGTTGGATATACATTTCGACAACCCTATCGGCTTCAACACTCTCGAAAACCATAAAAATGACACCCATAACGAAAAAATTTATACTACTTACTTTAAGTACGTACTACTATTATTTATTCTGTGCTTTTGAAATATTGTAATTAAAAAAAAATCTCTCATTATTAATAAAATCAAGTATTTAAGAAATTTGGTTATTCGAGTATTGTGTATTTTTACAGCGATCTTTTTGAGTCGCTGCAAACAACCGAAACAATGTCCACTCACGAAGGCTGACGCCGAACCATAGATACGAACCATAGATTTAGAAAAGGGGGCAAACGAGCAAGCGGCTCACCTGATGGTAAGTGACTACCGCCGTCCATGAACAACCGCAACACCAGGGGAATTGCAGATGCGTTGCCAGCCTTTTAGAAAGGTGTAAGCTCTTTTCTTGAAGGTTCCTATGTCGTATCGGTCCGGAAAATTCGCTGGTGGTAATTGATTTCACAAGGAAGTTGTGCGAGGGAGAAAACTTCTTTTAAATCGCACAATGGTGGACCGCCAATCATTCTCCATCATCGGTATGGATGGTAACGCGAGTTTTGTTGCAATGTGCGATGGTGAAATTGAGCGGCTGGAATTAGTCCGAACAATTCCTCATAGCACTCACTGTAATAGATGCGATAAAATACGCAAAGAGATGCAACATCTTTACGCAGTGCCAGTGTATCGAGCCGATCAGAAAAAACTCGACGATTCGAACCGCTCTGCGCTGGATGCGGTCAAGTGGCAGGAGCTGGCACTGGTCTGCCCCGGCCCAGAGATGAGAACAGTATTCCATGTGGGGCCGAACTTGCGCTTTGTAAAGTTGCAAGCGATGTGCCGGCATGAAATACTGTCTCGCTCTGCTGAGCACGCCAATCTTTTTAGAGGCCAATTTGGCCTTCCCTTCCAGGTGACCACGAAACTGCACACTATTCGATATGTCAACGCCAAGGATTCCGATACTAGCTGAGGCAGCAAGGGGAGTGCCTTTAAACTGAGGAGATACGACAAAAGGGGTTCTTTTTAGCGGTAAACGCGCAAACTTGTGTCTTCTGGGGATTGAAGTGGACTAGATTTAGTCGACCCCAATCCGAGACTTTGTTAAGCAAAGACTCGACTTCAGACACAAGTTTGTCCCGGTACTCGGCGACGTTTTCCCGAGAAATACTGCCACGGCCGGTATATAAGGCATCACCAGTGCTGTCGTCCACATAGCAATGAATGCTACCAGTTTGTAACATATCATTGATATGCAGGAGAAACAGCGTTGGTGATAGCACGCAGCCTTATGGAACACCAGCGTTGATAGGCTTGAAATCAGAGCATGCACCGTCTATTACAACGTTGATGCTCCAATCAGCAAGAAAACTGGTGATCCATTTGCACAATTTCTCGGAAAGCCCATAGGAAGCAATCTTCGAAAGAAGCGCTTTGTGCCAGAACCGACCGAAGGCCTTCACTATGTTCAAACTAACGGCCAATGCCTCCCACTTGGACTCTAATGCTTTCGCCCATCTATGATTCAGATAGACTAGAAGATCACCAGCTAATCGACCCCGACGAAAACCGTACTGTCGCTAATCAGCTTATGATCCTCAAGGTACCTCATGAGCTGGCAGTTTATAATGGAATCCATTATTTTGGAGAACAAGGAGGTGATGGCGATAGGCCTGTAGTTGGACGGGTGTGAGCGGTCGCCTTTTTTAGGGATCCAGTGGATCAAAGCTGTCTTCCATGAATTTGGGACTACGCCTTGGGAGTAGGAGTACCGAAAAATATGCGTTAAAACCGGTGCCAACTCCGGAGCACACGTCTTCAGCACAATGGGAGGGACTCCATCGGGCCCACTCGACTTTCTGACGTCTAGGGGGAAGAGTGCATTGCGAACCGAGCGCTGTGTAAACCGCACATCCGGCATGGAGCATTCACATCGCGACATGGACGGCGGTGTGTTCCCCCCGTCATCTAGAGTCGAGTTGGACGCAAAGAAAGAGCTCAACAGATCATCTTTCTCCTTTGCGGTTTGGGCCAATGAG